GAACTATTGTAGAACAACTGAACAGGGTCTTTGGCATTTGCGATTAACTCCAGCGTTCTGCCAAGAACAGGCCGCTTCAGAATCTCGCCAGCTTGATAAATTTTCTTTGTCTTCTGGTTGAAAAACACGCTAAAATAAAACAGATATGTTTTGTCATGTCAATAGGCATCTATGTTTGAAGAAAGTCGAAACCACAAAAAATACAAAGTTTGTAAGAAAAAATGAACTGTTTGGCAGTACTGAGAATTTTGAGTTAAACGGACCCTATAAATGATTTAGAACGGTCGTTATGATTCATTGCTTCAGCACACAAGCAATAAACTAACGTCAAGGATCCAAATATGGACTTTAATATCTTTCTACTTTTCGTGCCTAGAGCCCGTAAAGTCCCCATAAGACGAAAGTAATTTTTGATAGAAGGCGTTTTCAGAACGATTATGCTGGAAATATGGCCAAGCAGCGATACAACCAGGAAAGAAAACGTGGCCTCATGTCATAATGAACGATGGGAAAGTTTGAAGAGTGATCGAAAATCTGACCAAAGACCGGTAAATGTGGAGACCATTGACGCGGAAAGCAGACCCTTATTAAAGAGAACATGCTGTGACAAAGAAGAAAATAATGTTATGTATTATACTAAATCGTGTATTTTAACATCTTCATGAATATTTCAAGTACTGTCGTGAAAAATTAATTTTAATAAGCAAAATTTGTAGGGTTACTCTAGGCTGTTGCTAGAATCGATGTAGCGTTTGACCTCGTCCAATGCCTTCGCCAACGCACCAGAAACGACGAAACCATTCCTGCACAGTTCAACGGTGGGCATTACTAAATCTCGCCATGCAACCTTGCCGCCGAACTTTCGGTAGGCCAGCCAGAGGCCATAAAGTTCTCCAGGAACGCCTATTGATTTTCCACCTAAAAGTTTATGTTCATAGTTTTATACGAATCTACTTGTCACGTGATTACCGTATTGTGAACTCATGAGATCCTTTGCAAACATATCCGGGGTGCTAGCAGCAGGAGCTGTTTCACGGGCGTTAATGGCAATGCACTGTTGTGTTTTTCTAAATAAGCAAATTCAAATTTCATACAAAGTTTCACAAATCAAATTGTCGACAGTACATTGTTGTTATAATGATT